AAGTCGTATGAACTCATGGCTACGGATGTTGCTAAATTCACCATCTTGATTCTTTCAATTCTAAACTGGAAAGGCAATATCAGTTCCAAGAGCAAGGGAAAAGGGGATTTACCTCAACAATATGAAAACTTGGAAGTCAAACCCCTATCCCAAACTCTAAATAACCACTTCCAAAAACAACGAACAATAGGATGCCTATCAATTTTCAGCCTGCTACTTTAATTGCACCAATTTCATCAATTTTTGAGCTCTTGTCCTGCAAGAGCATAAAATGGTGACTGTGAACAACTGAATATCATCTAGATCAGTGCCCCCATCGTGTTTTCGTTTCTGAATTTGAATAGGTAAGATTCCATTTTAGATTGCAAATTGAATAACGAGAAAAGAGAAAAACCTTTAACTGTGAAGAGCGACAACCGGCGGGTGAAGACGACGAGCTATGGACGACGGAGTTAGGGCGGCGGCGGGCGACGGGGCGCTGTGGACTTGCGACGGACGAGTGGACGACGTCGAGCTACGGGCGGCGGCCGAGGGAGACAGGCGGTTGACGAGGGCGACGGGCCGCGGCCGATGGCAACTAGAGGCGGCCGAGTGAGGCGACGAGCGGCGGCCGAGTGAGGTGACGACTGACGAGCGGCGGCCGAGGGAGATGAGGAGAAGGGTGGGTGGTGCGGCGCTGGAGATCGATGAAATTAGGGTTCAGCGTAACCCCTTCTCCCTTTTGGCAGCCGCATTTTTTTTTTTTTAAATCAAAATTCAAAAACGACGTCGTTTTGATGAAAGGAGACTGTTTTGCTCCTATGCTTGGAATCGTACAAAAGCGGTATAAAAACGAGTTTTTAACCATTTCTACCGATTTTACTACGCTTTTGACCGATTTTGAGTAACTAACGATTTTATTGGTGATTTGAAACGTTTTCCTACCCTAGAAACGTAAAATCGTACGATTTTACGCTTTAAAGCGCGATTTTGACTGCACTGACCAAAATCAGTGGCTTCCAGATTAAATCCCAACCATCACCTCTGTAGCGGTAGATCGGTACTGGGTTTTTCGCGTCCAACATCAGGTCCCGAAATGGGGAAGAAGATATCGACGGAAGAGAGTCGTAGATGAAGGGTTTCAGCGATGGCGACGCGCAAGTGGGGAAGAAGATTTCTAGTGGTGGCGACGATTAAGAGGGGAATGATGAGAGATTTGTATTTGCTTGTGATGCTTCTCAATTGGGGATTGTGATTTTTTTGTTCTGCTTTTGCCTCTTCTGCTTGTCATCGACAATGGGAGTCGAGATTTGAGAGTGACATTCAGAAAGATGAGGCTTATTTGTGGGTCTGTTTAGATGTGGGGATGCAAATAAAGTTCTTCAAATTACATCGATGGGGTGAATAGGCTATTCGACCGGCGACGTGTTCAGTCGTGGAGCCGGTTTCGAGGGAGACGTTGTGTGAGATTCGACGAATTCAAGTCTTGAGCTCGTGTTGGATGAGAATCACATTAAGGGGATAATGAGGGATGGAATTCGTGGATAGCACCTGAGGATGAGGATTCAGAGAAGAAGAACAATGATGCCAAATCTGGGAAGCGTAGTTGCGGAGAAGTTCTGTCCCTTTGTTTGATTTGCATGATTGTGAACTCCGGCGACAGTATGAGAGGTTGAAGAACACAAACGGTAGACAATATAAAAAAATGGAGAGGGGGTCGATTCTCAGGTTGGGTCTCGGGTTGGTTCGCGGGCAGATAGGGAAGGCTGACATGGCGGGCAAAAGTGACATGGCGGGTCGTCGATTTTTAGGGTCAAATTATGCTGGCGGGGACTTTCTGTTAGCCCCGTCATCACTTAACGACCTCTGACGGAGGTTAACAGAGAGTGACTGAACTTGGTATGTGTACCTAATCTAAGTGACTACGGATGGAATGAACCAATTCGAGTGACCAAACATAAAATTTTGTAGCAATTCGAGTGACCAAACTTGCAATTTAGCCTCGAAAAATCTATTAAAGAAGTCCTCTTTTGTGTTTAAATAAAACGCCTGCGTTTTATAATAGCTGTAGGGTTTCAATTAAGTTGAATTGGGCTTTCTCGTTTTTTTTTTTTTTTTGGTAGGGGCTTTCTCGTTTTTTTAACTTTTAGGTTTATGCAAGCAGACCTATAAAAACGAGTTTCATTGCACAGTGGGCTTAACTTCAAATCTGTAGCCCATTAGATCATCCTAAGCTCACGTTTTTTTAAAACAACCTTGAGTTTCTATTTCACAAAAAAATTTGGATCAAAGCTTTCATTTCTCCCTCTTTTACAAGTGTTCCTTCGTATAAATCCAGAAATTGCAGGTTGAGAAAGTGGGAAGGATCGTTGTTGCAATATACTGCAATTGCAGGCGTGTAGGCGTGCGCTACTGATAAAGCTCGCCAAATAGAAGCTTGATATCAAGCTGAGCAAGCAAGAGGCTTGCTCAAGGAACGGACATTGCAAATGTTGTAAATCCAGTTTCAGATTCTATCCTTTGAGAAATACTCAGCATGGATAGAGAAATGAATGAATGAGTTATGCTGTTCCAACTTCGAGAGTTTTTCATGTAAAAGACCAAGGGGTCGTTTGGATGTGGAAATCTACAAAGGTGGTAATTAACTCAAATTACCACAGTTTGTAAAACCTAGCAATTGGCTTCTGAAATTGGATCAAAATTCCTACGTTTGGCTATGGTTTGATTGAGTGTGAAATCTGGTGTGGTATTTATACTTTTTGGGTGAAAGTACAACAATATCCTCAAAAGTGAATGGAAAAAGGTTCTCCTCTTCTCTTGCTTTGCACCTCTACCCACGAAGACCCATATCATTTGCTCAACTGTTCCTCCGCCCCTCCCCCAAAGCTCTTTTACTGTCTACTCGTCTTCCCCTGCAGCTTCCTCCTCGTCGAGAAACTACCACAACTTCGTTCTACAAAGGCAGCAGCAGTGAAGAAAGAAGGCCATCGCGTCTCCAGCAAGGTTGACAGGTCGATGGCGGACACAAACGAAAGGAAGGAAAAATTGTGTGGGTGTGGGAAAATAGCTGTTGTTCGGACTTCGAAGACCCCAAAGAACCCAGATCGAAAATTCTATTCTTGTCCGAAATACCCATCAAGTGTAAGACTCCTAACTGCTATTTCGTTTGTTTGAATTAGGTGAAGATTGTGACATACATGTCTATATAGATTGATGTCAATGAGAGAAGCAGATTTTGGTTGTTGATTTTGAAAGGCTGTACGAATTTATGGTGTGTTTTGGCTTACAGGGATATTGTGACTTGTTCGAATGGTGTGCTGCTACTGATATGAGTGGCAAAGAAGATGAATTGTACAAGTTGATTGCCAATTTGCAGATTAAAGTTCAAGAGCTGGAGGTTGAGAAGAGTTCCCTTGTTCTAAAACTTAGCGGTGAACTGGATGGTTCATTGGTCATTCCAACAAGTTCAAGTAGTTCGAACAGCACGAGTACTGTCTCATTGGACTCCAAAGTTGTAGCGGCAATGGAAAGAAGATTGTCTCGAGTGGAGAAGTATCTTGGCTTCTATGAGTGATGATGTCTTTAGTTTGGTTGAATGTAAAAGGTTGAACCTTGTTAAAGTAGTTGAAAGTTTAGAGTTGTAATGAATAAGTGAATGGGTGTAATTAACTGATGCAACTTTTGGTTTTCATTGTAATCAAGTTTTATTTGAAGTTGCTTTAACTGAATCCTGAAGCAATAAACTGAATTTAACTGGATTTGTTGATGTACTACTAACTTTTAGATGCTAACTTCTAACCTTGCTTCTGGAAAAGCACACTGCCGATTCATAAGCCTACTGCTAATTAGCGTTGCTGGTTTTTGTTAAACTGCTATGGGGTTGCCGCTGTTACAGCAAAAAAAACTGATGTTGGCAACTATCAAACTACCATTCATTACATGCCAACTAACTTGGAGCTACAAATTCCATCATTGTCATTAATACATGCTGCTGCACTTTACATCCAAAAACAACAAATTCCATCATTGTCATTACATACATGTTGCTGCACTTTACATCCAAAAACAACAAATTCCATCATTGTCATTACATACATGCTGCTGCACTTTACATACTTAAGCTGCTGATCAATCTTTACAAAATACAGTTGTCTTATGTTTGCAAAGACTGTCATTGTAAGTCTGAAGCAATGACAGTAGACAAAAAAAGCAAACAAATCTTTGCAAACTAGACAACGTCTTGATCTTCTACCCTGCACATTTACATATATCGTTATATGTCAGTACTACGTTCACTTCTCGAGTACATCAAGCACAAGAGTGAGTCTGTCTTCCTCATCCTCCATGTCATAGAAGCACTTCAAATCCCCAGGATCCTTGCAAAGCCTCCTGCAAGCTAACACCATTTGTGCCCTTGTGAGTCCAGCCATCTGTCCTAGGGTATCCATAAGCTTTGCCTTCATTTCTATATGCATCTCACTCTCACCCATGGCCCTAGCAATGGTATCAACTGATTCCCTTATTAATGGCCTCATTCCAACCATATCTGATGCAGCTTCATCTATGAGATCATCTGTTTTCAATTTCTTCTTCTTTCTTGTTGGAACTGAAGTTGGAACCTTCCTTTTACCTGCTGCCTTAGTAGTAGCTGTTTCGACCCCTTCATTAATGATATTGAACATTTCTTCTTCTGCAACAGGAGTATCCATCTGGGATAACGGGACTGTGGGCTCGACATCATCATCAGAACTGACTATGAGGTTCCCATCAGCTCCCTGGAACCCCATTTCACCTGTCGCCCGCCCTGTACCAAACACAGGCACCAAATCCCAAAACTCTGGAAATGGTGTATCTCTATAATTTTTGAAGGTTGGATGAGTCTGCAAGCAACATTCAATGCAACCAACAACCATCAAAGCACAAAGACTGTAATAAATGGCGATAAGACTTGTAACTTCTTCCATACAAGAGTGCAACAATAAATGAACATATGACAGGATATGGAACAACAACCTAATGATTCAGCAAATTAGAGTAAATACCTTGACATATACTTTCCAAACATCGTCAGACACGATGACGTGGTTATCCACAGTATGCCACCCCCATCCACTCTCCTTCTTCATTGTCATCGTTGCATGGAACCAATGCTTCAATTTTCTAATTCTTGTTGCAATGGTTGGTTTTGCCTTAATACCACAACCAGGTATCCTCGTTTCCATCATGCGCTCCAGCTCTTTGTAAACGCCATTCTTGCATTGACCATCCTCGATCTGTCCTTGGTCTACTAGTTCCAGCAAGCATTCGACAAATGGCTTGTCATGATTCGGCTCCCAGTGGTTGTACTCTCTAGATGTCTCATTGCCATCTGCCACCCCCTTCTTCTTCTTTACCATATCTGCACAACAAACATATTCGACAGCATACCTATGAAGAGAATGGAACTAACAAGTATCATCGAATAAAGAAGCAGCAGATTTAACACAACCACATTTTCGTAATCTTATATAATAATGGAAAGGTAATCAAAGTTAAAAATTAGTCATTACACACATCATACTGGTAGCCTATAACACATAACCAGATTTAACATCAAGCTATATTGTGCCAAATTACATCCTCTCCATTAAAAATAGATTTAACAACTGGAACAGACAGCTATCTGTATACTTCCAGTGGAGTGACACGATTTAGATGGTGTCAAACTATTGGAACAGCAGGTCTAAAAGGCCAATTCTCCCACATATCCTTCGCCAAGTCATCTCTAAATCGAGTCCATGCAGGACAAGCGTGAAAGTCATCTGGAGCAATGTTCTCAACCTCATTCGCGACACATTGTTCTTCTTCTGGCTCAACATCTTGATATTCCCTTTCAAATCTGTCAGCCCCACGTTCCTTCTTAATGAAATTGTGGATTATGGTGCAAGCAACAACAATACGAGCCATATCACTAGGGGAGAACCAGCTAGAATCCCTAAGAATAGCCCACCGCATTTTTAAAATACCAAAAATCCGCTCTATCACATTCCTAGCCGACGCATGCTTCATATTATAATACTCTTCAGCTATAGATGGTCGTCTTGGTCCCCACTCTTTAAGATGGTATTTCTGCCCACGATAAGGGGTTAAGAAGCCAGTACTATTCCCATAGCCACCATCACACAAATAGTAACACCCTTCATGAAATAGACAATCTGTGAGTTAAAGAAAAGTTGCAAAAATTTATTATCTTTAAGTTAACTTCAAAAGATTTGAATACATCCTTTTACCTTCAGGCACACTAAGGCCATTAGGCCTAGTAAGGGCATCTTGAAGAACCCTTGCATCATGGGCTGAACCTTCCCAACCCGACAAGCAATATATGAACTCCAAATCAGGAGTGCATACGCCAAGCACATTCATAGAAAGATGGTTCGTCCTATCCCTGAACCTAGTTTGGTCCTCTCTTCTAGGACGCACGTCCACATGTGTTCCATCTAAAGCACCAAGACAATTCTACGCAAACAGGAAATTGACACATTATATGCTTTTGTAAGTCTTAATCCAATGAAAAAACTAAGGGCAGGGTATTAAAATCTCATAATGAAGCAATCAGAACCTTAAAGTGTTTCCACCTATAGTCGTTGCTGTTGTCAGCGATGGGAATAGGCTTCTTCATCAAGAGACTATTGAGTCTAATGACAGCCCTCAAAACCCGATGAAATGATCTCGATATGGTCTCCCCAGATCGTAGTAAGTTCACTGCCAATGTCCTGTTCTTCTCGTTGTGTGAAATTGTGCACAGAAACGTGTAGACCATTTCATCTATGTTTACATCTCTAGTTCTTCTCAACCGTCCATTAACAGCAAGAACCTCACAGAACCTATTGAACAACGCTCGATCCATTCTAACCAGGGAAAAACATATAGTATCACACCTTCTGATCCTACGATCTAGATGTCTTTGCCTATCGTAATGCCTCACTGTGTAGCTATCCATTGGTTGCCTAGCAAGTCTACGGTTTGCATTTCTTGCTTGAATAAGCTGGGTTAGTTCCTGTCCTAGGCTTACATAAATTATTAAAAGGTTGATGAAAGAGCTAACTGCCGCAACCACTTGTCTCCTACGCCGTGGGCTCAAAATCGATAGTCTTGACATCCTTATCGGCCAAAAACAAAACTCAATAATAAGTGTTTTGTCTTTAATAAAAACATATTGAAAAACTTGACTTGACATTCATCAGATCGTTTGTTGTAGGAGCAGCAATATGTTAGAGATAACCCTAACATACACACCCAACGTTCTCAACGAAAAAATCCAAAGGGGATAAAGTTTACCTGAAATAGAAGCGTCGCTTTCCAACCTCTCCTGCTCGTCGCCGCTGTCTTGATCCAACCTTTCCAACTTCTGATCCAACCTATTCTGCTCGTCGCCACAGAGAAGCAAAGCAAAGAAAAAGGGAAAGAGAGAAGGATATATGAACTCGTCTGCACAATTAAAACCTAAAGCAACAAGAGGACAATTATGGGTTTACAATGAAATAGCAGGGTCAAAATTGTAAGAAAAAGTACCGAGAACGTGGGAATGTAAAATACAGGGGTGGGGGTGCCGGTTTTTGAATTGCAACGTTGGTGGAAAAGTGGCCCAAATTACATGGGTCAATTACCATACCCACTTGGCCCATCCAAACATGGGAATTTCTTTTAATTGCTGCATTGTGTGGGAATTTAGCACAATTCCCTCAATATTTTACTGCATCCAAACAACCCCCAAGTAATGAGGATACAAGTGGAAAGAAAGCAATTTTGAGGAGCCAATGAAGCTTATTATGATGATGAATAATTCACTCTTAGTTGGTTATCAAATTTTTAAATCTTCGTTGATGGATGCTTTATCACCAATTGAGATTATTGGATGATGCTAACTATATTCATATAATCAACTTTAATTAACTTTGGCGAGTAGTTTCAGAAATTGTTATTCTAACTTTAACTATATATTAATATTATATATACTCAATTGGCCTGACCCATGATTCGACCGCCAATTTGGATGGTCAATACTATTGATTGTTAGTCAACGGTCTAACTTACTGCCATGTCAGCAAAGAATAAAAAATACTTTATTATTTCCTTTATCTAGTTAATAAAATAATAAATAATGAAAAAATAAATAGAACAAATTAATTCTGGCCACGCTTATCCCTCCCCTCTTTCTCGTACTGCTTGCTCTCCCACCGATTCGACGATTCCATCCGGAGCGGGTATTTGATCCTCGATTCCGAATCCGGGTGCCCCGACTACTCCGTCTACTACTACCTAGATCTCTGACGAATAAGCGTCAAGGGGTTGTAAAAGTTTGATAACGCGGAAAGGACAAGAACAACATCAATTTACGTGGTATTCTCATGCGATGTGAACATGACTAATCCGCAGAAAGCTTGAACGAGCTCTCGACTCACGATATTATTATTGATCAATAGACTGATGAACTTGCTGCAACAAGGTAATGCAACTAAGTATTTATAGACGTGGATTAAATATATCCATGTTGATTTATCTTTTGTGGGGTATTTTACCTTTCTAGATATGGTAGAGGATGTGGCTCTAACAATCTGTCTGTTGGGTTCTTTTTTGGCCATTTGTGGCATAGGCCTGTTTGTTTTTATTTTGGGCCAATATTACGGTGCCGCTGTAAAAACCGCGGCCCCAGTGACACTGATTTTTATTGGGTCACGTGGAGCTTATGCGGCAAAGCTGAATTTGATTAACCCAAGCCCAAATATTAACCGAGCAACAAGTGGTCAAACCGAGCTACCATGAAACTAACGGGTGTTTTCCCCATTCGTTTGATTGTTTTCTTTTTCCATTTATTTGACATTCAATTGTATTTATTTTTCTCCTAAGAAAACGAATGAAAACTCTGAAAATGAAAAGCAAACCAATAGACGTCTTCTAAGTTCTCTCGCTCGTCTGATTCTGAAAAAGCGAGGTGCCCCGGCGAACTCATAGTCGTGTAAAACAAAATACGAATCCTCCGTTCCGTGCAACCCTCAATCTCCGTCGAAGAACTCTGCCAATATCGATGATCCCAAGGTGAAGGAGAGTTCCATCATTGAAGCTACATCAATTTAACTGTAAAAAGATAAATTATTAAAAAGATAAAAATAAAATTATAAATTATTAAAATTAACAACTAACGGGGAATCCTCTCTCCTGTTCTTCGCCGCCGCATTCTTGGCCACAAACGCTGGTGGTTGCTGCCGTTTCCGCTCAGAAAAACCCTGTGAAGCTGAGGCCAACGCACAAAACCAGAACCCTACTAGATAGAACAAGTACAACCAATGCAAGCTCCAACCCCACACATTCCCTTAATCTAGAAAAAATAAAAATAAATATAAATCATTGTCGTATCCCAAGTCATCCTCCACCTTCTCCGCCGCGTCGTCTGCGATCTTGTCCTCCAACGCATCGAACCCTTCCACCAACGCGATTCCACCCAGAGCTCCGGCCACCGCGCCTACAGCCAATCCGGCCCCCATCCCGCCGAACTTACCCTTCTTCTTCTCCTCCTGCACATACGCCGTTTGATTCTGCCCGTACCCACCTTCGTAGCTCGGCTGCCCGTACGCCGCAGTACCGTACCCACCGTTGCTTCCGTACGCCGCCGGATACCCGCTGGGCGGTGGAGCCGCGACGTAGTAAGGCTGGGGGAACCGGTGCCCCGATTCGGTATCTTGTTCTCGGATCCCACCCAAATCACTTGCCCGCTGCACATTTATCCGTGAATCCCGTCCCTGGAGATCGATTGGGGGCATTTCTGAATCTGGGTTTCGGTTGACAAAGTTGCTGCCCAGTTCCATTTCAATTCCTCGTCAGACTCTGTTGGCAGCGGAGGCGGCCTAGTAGGGTTCTGATTTTGCGGCGTTGGTCTCGGCTTTGGAGGGTTTATCTGAGCGAAAACGACAGCAACCACCGTCGTTTGTGGCCAAGAATGCGATGACGGAGAACAGGAGAGAGGATTCCCCGTTCGACGTTCGTCCTTAGTTTTTATAATTTTATTTTTATCTTTTTAATAGTTAGAATGAGGTGAAAATTTTAAAAAATTAAATTTTATTTATTTAAATGTTTTTTAATTGCCACGTCACATACTTAATGGTGAGCTTTTTGAGTTGACTACCATGTAAGCAAAAGTTAATCGAGTTGGACGGAGAGTGATCAAACATGAACGGTTACAATAAACTGAAGTATCAACAATGAATTTATAAATATTTCGAGTGACCAAACTTAAATTTTTGTGTAATCACAGTCACCGACCATACAATATTACAATTAACCCCACGAACCCTGCTATTGTTCCCGTTCCACTTTCCACCGCCTTCCCAGATAGAAAAATAGCAGCGATTCGAAGTCCTTGTACTGACGAATGCCCCACTTGGAAGAAGGAAGAAGGAAAAAATAAATCACCGGATACTTCCGTCGGAGCGAAAGAAAGGAGGAAAAGGGAAAGAGTAATATTTTGCGGGAACGGCGGCGATGTGGATGATGATGGGTTTGAGTCTGCAGAGCATGCTAGATTTGGTGGCAGCTGGGATCTCTCTAATGATAGGTCTCGGCATCTTCACCTTCGTTGCTTCCGTCCTCTGCTCCGCTGCCTTCATCCAAAATGTCAAATCCGTGTAATCCAATTCCTCAGGTATACCCTTCTTCCCCTCTTCTCTCTCACTGTCTCCACCGTCGGAAAATTATAGAGTGGTATCTGATTCAATTCCGCGCGAATTCAGACTATAGGGCATCTGGGTATTTTTTTTATAGATGAGATCGGTGCAGAAAATGCATGGAATGGTGATAGAGTTTGGGGGAAATGAATGTGAATTTCCATTCCATTCATGGTTTATATGGTGGTGCAGGGTTGGTTGACAATTCGATTCTTGGAATGGTGGGTAAGAGAAAGATCAGTGTTGTGTTGTGGAATTCCACATCGTTTTTCCGAGTCTTTCATGGGAGTTTAGGGGACCAAGTTTTTGTATAAACAAAAGCATAGAAGAGACTTGTGTTGTAATCTGATATCACCCACCAGGACATTGATGCTGCCTCTCCTGTTCATGTTTTCTTAGGGGACTTGGTTTCTTTGCATGTTTCTTACATTTGTGTGTTATTGATGGTGCAGGAGAGAAGGAACTGGCAGATCTTAGGACTGAAGAAGTAGGAAAACTGCAGGCTTTTGCCGAAGAAAAGGGTAGACTTACTAAGCTGATTGAGGATCAAGGTAGATTACTTCTACAACTGTGGTTGCAGATAACATCTTCTCATGATTTGAGCCAATCTATAGATCATATTCAACACAACTGCAGTGCACAGTTCTTATCTTCATATAATCATATCTATACTTGTCCAGTTCATTTAGGCTATGGCATGACGAATGTAGCTCCTGTTAGTTAGTTAGTTACGGAAACGAACTAGCTTCTTAGTTCGATTTCCTATCACTCTGAGACGCCATACTCGAGCTGGGATGGTGCATTCGCTGCTGGTTGGGGAAATTAGTGAGACCAAATTGAGCAAAATTCTATCATGAGACCTGCTATCCCTATACTCATTTGCTGATGTCCGGACTGTTACTTCAATCCCATAACAGTTAGGTTATGCAGATGATCAAAAGAGAATAATTAGTATTAACCAGCAGCTTAACTCAAAGCTTCATGCTTCCAGGCTCCAGTGAAACTTGTGTTTAATGGATTGCTCCGTGGTTAACTATCTGTGACGCTGCGAGCTGCAGGCTTTTATCCTGATTTCAATTGCGTCGACTCTGCAAAATGGGCATCTTGCGTTATGAATTGTCTTATTGTCTTGGTCTCTCACCCTCTGTCATGTGAATCTGTTGCTTTTTGTTTTTGCTTTGTCCGCAGATGCCATGCTGAAAGATTAGAGATGGAGTGTCTGAACTCTGAAGTCTAAGCTAGGAAGTATACACGTTGAATTGCAGCCAAAGGAAGATGGGATGTACAGTGTTACGTGTATTCGATTTTGTTTTGTTTTGTTGAGATGAGGTTGTTGAAGTAATGTGACACCATCATACTTGCCTTTTTAAGCTCCGAGTATTTTGCCCTTTGGGCCAAGCACATCACAACAAGCAAACTATCCAAACTGAAGAAAATGCAGTAGGTAGGGAAAGGAACACACGAGGTCCCCAATACCCTTTAGAGCATAGGCAAGACTCCAAGTATAAGAGTGAAGTTAAGTTTGCAAGATAATATCACTAATTTTGGACCTGGTTCCGGGTTTAGTATCTAACCACAAAAGTTAAACCTATTCACCCTTATCTAAAAAAGTGTCATATCAAGAATTAGTGATTGGCAAATTGGAAAAATGAACATATACAACATGTATCTCGCTTAATCGTGGTTGGATCAACCACCATCTATGCAACTCGTTACATAGGATTGTTGATGGAAAATCTTTCTCTATAACTTAATGTGTTCGTCGAAACTCTATGAAACCCAGTATTAGTGTCATATTTTAACATAGAGTAAATTGATGAGTTTACTTTACTTTTATGCGAAATTATAAAGTGACAATTATTAGGGGGAAAAATATAGTGAGAATTATTTTTTATAAAAGTTCGAGAGACGAACTTGTTAATAATCTCAAAGTGTATGTAATGTTGCACTCGCAACTTGATAATTATCGATTTTAATCGTAGTGACTAGAGTTGGTTAGTGTAAACCTCCTGTACAAGACTCTTGCTTAGTGTTGCGATTGAAACTCGATTTTAAGAAAGATTGAAAGATAGACTGTATGATATCATTAATGCAACATTTGGTGTGATGATACACATGTTAAATCTTAAATTGAGTGGCCAATTTGCCAATGATCTCATAATTTAGTGATCATTTGTGTCATTGACCATGAGAAAAATGCCCCAAATCTTTTTACTATTGGAATTCCCGTCCTTTGTTTCTTCTCCAGTTTATTTTTTGTCTCAATTTCTTCGGCGAATAAAAAGAAACTGGGAAATTTAAAGGAGAAAAAAAAGTTAGAGAGAGATTCGATCGTATCGCTCACGAGCTCCTCCCTCTCTCTCTCTCCTCCTCTCGATCTTAACCCAACAAAAACCAGCGTTGCAATTCTGTGATTCTGAGCTTATTCTTCTTGTTCGTCTTTTCTCCTCCATCTGCCCAATTTGGGATACTCTTGTTCGGTCTCGCATCCTCCCTCTTTTCTGTTTTAGGGTTCCCGATTGTTGATTCTGCCCCTCCAATTCCTACTCACATTCAGCGCATTGCATTTCCATTTCCGTGTCCATTTCTCGAAGCTCCTTCAGCTCTCACGCTTGGGGTAAGCTTCTTCGCTCCCCGCCCACCGGCGTTGCTGCAAATTGTCAGTGGCTGAAAATTTAATTTCCATTGCACTTCTTTCGTTTTTCTTGGTTTTGCTTGCAGTGATTGAATTGAAGGGGCACGGTGTGGAAAATAATTCGACGGCTTCGTTTGAGTTTCGATTGAAGTTTGGATGTTTGCTTCGCGGATGGATTCCGGGCAGGAAGCCGGCGGTGGAGTTGCAGCAGGGACGGTGTTGATGCGGTTTGTGTGGCCTCATGGTGGTCGAAGCGTATTAATCACTGGCTCTTTTAACGGGTGATGATTGATAATAATGCTCAGAATTCTGCTCCTATTCTACTTTCCATTTTTCGCAAGCGCTTGCCTCCCTATTCACCTGGTTACGTTTTTTTAATGATTTTCTGGGGTTGGGTTTATTGGGAGAATGGTCCTAATTGATGGCTTTGTCTCTTTCTGAAGATGGGGCGAGCTCGTTGCCATGGCTCCAGTTGAAGGTTGTCCTAGAGTGTTCCAAGCAATTTGCAGCATATCTCCTGGTTACCACCTGGTGAGTTGGTCTGTGCTTCAGTTTTTCAATTTTTGTTATGTAGTTTCAAGTTTCTCCTGGGCATTCCTAGTTATTGATGCTTGTGCCGACACGTGTGAGCTTAGTGAATGGAATAGCTTCAGTTTCCTCTCTTGTTTTGCTTTAAGGATGGTACAATGAAGGAAGGCTACTTGCTAATGCAATTGTGCAATCCAAGGCAGCAGATTATGTGTTACTCCTTGTTGCTCCCAATTTTTTTTGGTATAGTAGTTGATGGAATAAGCTCCTGAGCTCGGCCTGAATGGGAATTTAAATAGTTTACTGTGAATTTCAGATTGCACACCTTGCTGCAGATGCCTGATTTTGATAGCTGTTTATCTTGATGACGTGGTTTTTAGTATTTTAGTGTGTTTGTTATCATATCATCTGTAATATAGCTTTACTTATGGTGGTTGCATCATGCAGTACAAGTTTTACGTTGATGGGGAGTGGCGGTATGATGAGCACCAATCTTGGGTAACAAGTGAATATGGCCTAGTAAACACTCTCCTCTTCCCAATGGATGCCAATCACAATCCCACAGCAGGTCCAGAGTTACATGCGAACATGGAGTTGGACAATGAGCACTTTAGGCGTGTGGTGAGTTGGCTACCTTTGTCAGTTGCAAATCATTTATGTGGAACCACTACATTTACCAGTCCCTTGCTAGTATTATAATTTCCCCATTGAAATTCGCTGGATTATTGGCTTGCTTGACTTCCTTGTATATTCATTCTGGCAATGGTTGGACATGGAATCTTAAGGAGTAAATGAAAAATGCAGGTCCATGTCTCTGATGGTACCTTGAATGAGGTTTTGCCAACAATATCAGAGGCCGATGTGCAGGCCTCTCGTCATCGTATTTCCGTGTTTTTGTCTACACAAACTGCGTATGAGTTACTTCCAAAGTCGGGCAAGGTTAGATATACCCTATGATCACTCAATATGATTCCTTCATCTTTCCTTGATGCCCCCCTTTTCTTATTAGCAAGGTTAGGAAATACCTATGATGACTCAGTATGATTTCTTCACCTTTCTCTCTTTCCTTGATTTCCCCCATTCCTTCTGAGCTTGATGATTCCAAGCTTCTTTCTCTTCATATAATCAGTAGATGTAGCTTACAGGTGGTTGCATTGGATGTCGATTTACCAGTGAAGCAAGCTTTTCATATCTTATACGAGCAGGTGAGTGATTCGTCCTTTTGGGTCTTCCAACTAATTGTAGAAATTAAAATCCAGTTCAATGTCATTTGGATTGCATAGTTCAAATTTTTGTTGCCTCTTGATGATTTGAATTTCTTTCTGGTGCTTATATGATCAAGGCTAATCCAAAAAGAATGATCTTGCCTCAATGATTCGTTTTCTTGACAAAATATGACTTATCACTTATACCATTGTCTCTAGGGAGTCCCGATGGCTCCTCTTTGGGACTTCAGCCGGGGCCAGTTTGTTGGAGTGCTGAGTGCTTTGGACTTCATCTTAATATTGCGAGAGGTATGCATGCAAGGCCATATATATTTTTATTCTGAAAATGGTTTGAGTACAGACACTAGCGGTATTTACTATTAAAGGCTTAAACATGAGTAGTACTGTGATCCATGTAGTTGCTAGTTCTATAAGTTTGTTAGAGTTTGAGGCTTCTGTTTGAATCAATGCTGAAACAAAATTGGTCGTCGGAATTAGGCGACGATCTCATTTATTCTTACATTTTGTGTCTAGTAGCTGCTATTTTCATATTTTAACGGAGTCCTGATGGGTTCTCTGCTCTCTACTTTTTGTGTCCATGTTTCAATAAAAGCTTGGCAATCACGGGTCAAATTTGACCGAGGAAGAACTTGATACACATACAATAGCTGCTTGGAAAGAAGGAAAAGCATATCTTAATAGACAATTTGATGGCCAAGGGAGAGCTGTTACTCGGCAACTAATCCATGTGAGTGAGATCTATTGCATTGTTAATAGAAATGTGTCATTTAAATGAGAAATTTCTTGCTTGCTTTGTTGTGAAGTGCTGACTTTGAGATTTTGATTTTACAGGCTGGACCATACGACAACTTGAAAGAGGTTGCTCTGAAAATATTGCAAAACGATGTGTGCACAGTCCCCATAATCCATTCATCATCAGATGATGGATCATTTCCCCAGCTACTTCATCTTGCTTCGCTGTCAGGAATTTTGAAATGTAAGGCTTTTGTTTTAGCTGCTATGATAGTGCATGTTTTTTTATAACTAACCGATGGATATTAATTTCCAGGTATTTTCAGGTACTTCAGGCATGTTTCTGGCTCCTTACCTGTACTGCAATTGCCCATCTGTTCGATTCCACTGGGAACTTGGGTACCAAAGATAGGGGAATCGAATGGACGACCTTTGGCAATGTTAAGACCAAGTGCTTCCCTTAGTGCCGCTTTAAACTTATTAATTCATGGTACGTTTCTGTTCTGAAAATGCACAGAACTGAAGGAACCTAGAACTAGTCAATATGGAAGTCCACCAAGTCCTATTTGTTCCAGTTAAGTTGTGTAGCAGAACTATCTTCTGTAAATGTGTGCTCTGTTAATTTTTAGGAAAAGTCGAGCTGATGAGAACGAATCATTTAGTAATATAAAAAATATTGATGAGTTGGTTGATTGTTTGTTCAATATGAGGAAGAGTTTCGGGACGTGACTGTTGGGGGTGTATGAATTGTTAGATTGAAAGTGTGTTTGTTTCAGTTCTTAACTTGACTTTAACTCACCCGTTGTCTATGGTTTGGCTATTTTCCTTACAATTATCTGCTGTGTTTGTTTATTTGCTTGAGGATACTGATCCTGTGGGATGGCCTACTTGTCTCACCATGATTAGTAGTTCTGTTTCTTCTGACCTCTTATTGCCTCACCTTTGCAGCTCAAGTAAGTTCAATACCAATAGTTGACGATAATGATTCATTGCTTGATATATATTGTCGGAGGTAATGGTTTTTACATTGTTGTGCACTGTTAGTTTGTTTCTTCTCAAGACCCTTCGAGTGACTTACCCAAAGTACTTGCTTTTTATTTATTCCAGTGATATAACTGCTTTGGCAAAGGACAGAGTTTACACACACATTAATCTTAACGAAATGACCATCCACCAGGTAAAATTTCTCTCTTTCATTTCCTGATATGTTCCATAAAGATTAGTCCAAAAGCACCGTCGCTCAAATTCTTCTATCCGCAGGCCTTGCAATTGGGGCAAGACTCGTTTTATCCATATGAGTTGAGAAGTCAAAGGTGCCAGATGTGTTTACGCTCTGATTCACTGTTTAAAGTAATGGAGCGGTTTGGTAACCCAGGTAACTACTCTAAGTGCCTTGTCCCTGGCACATCAAAGTTTAGCTGTTCGCCTTCATTGTGATCGAAGCCCTTTCACTGCCATTTGCTTTCAGGTGTAAGGCAAGTGATCATAGTAGAGGCTGGGAGCAAACGGGTCGAAGGCATTGTCACTCTGAGCGACATTTTCAGATTCTTGCTCAGCTAGTTCAATGGTGGCACTGGCAGCTCTACACAGGGGGTTCTCGATTACAATCGCGCCATCTCAGCCAGGCAGCTTCCATGGCTGCTGAATCCCAATGTGTTGCGGGTATCGGCAGGCCTTCTAACTCTCTTCTCCGGCAACACATGTTGGAGAAAATCGAGCCATGAAAGAGGAAGGCAGCGTGATTTAATCCGGGGGGTTTACGCCATGCTAATTGCGAAGGTTGTGTGAAAAGTCTTCCTAGCAACCAGCTACCTCCTGTCATTTTTTTCCAGCATTAGGGTTGTATTTGTAGGCAGGAGCAAGCAAGAATGGGTTCTGTAGTAGACTAGTAGTTAGTTTATTCTATGCCTCCCAAGTCCCAAGCAGGAGAGGGAGAGAAACCAGTTAACCCACATCAAGAAGAGATTTGTCAAAAAAAAAAAAAAAAAAAAAAAAAGGAGAGTTGAAAAGGAAAAAAAAGAAAAATCCAAGGAAAAAGAGAGATGGAGAATTATAGCTCATATGATTGCATTCTAGTTTAGAAGTCCCATCAATCTAATCTGATACATTTGTGAAAGCACGTAATTTTGACTTGAAGTTGTGATTGTTAAATAGACATATTGTTATACATATAGTCGAATTTGATGCATTGTAAAATATAACGTGTGACTATATATGTCATATCAGTTAAATGTTGAGATAAAAACAATTATGACTTAATTATTTCAACAATCTCAGCTAAAAACTGCGATATAATAATCACAAATTTTTTTGATTGATACTTTTTGTCACATCACAATAACAATCCATGCATTTTGATTGATAAAAAGTTTTTAAAAAAACAATGCATTTTAATAAATACAAGTATAGTAATATCAATAATTGCAACTTTTAAACGACCTGAGAATTCTGTTCCTGATGGAAGTCACTTTCTTTGAAGGAGTGATTAGGATTTAGGAGAACATTTCCATGATCGACGAGAAATGTTCTAGAAACTGTACCATAATGTCCTGTCAGACAGAAAATATTGACAGCAACTCCAAACTATAGGTGATTTTAGCATTCGGCGGCGGATCCAGAACACAGAAGAGCACTGGGCCGCATTTTATTAGAAAATTAGAATCATAAAAAAATTAATGATTATAGTTTTTTTACAATGTAAATTGTACACGACGGTATCTTAATTTAGCAAATGCATCAATAATGTAGTCCACATCCATACCAATACTATTCCAAATAAAATACTTGAGCAATTGGCAAAAAATTCATCGCTCATTTATTGTGCAAATAAGTTTTAGATGTTTCTTTGTTCAAAAGGTTCTCTCTGTAGTAGTTGTTGACACAAGCAGCGTCAACACTAGACAAATCAATATAAATTTGCATTATGTGTCCATCCCTATACCACCCATTGTCTAGTAAATTTTCAAGGTAACAAACCTCATATTTCTTTTAGCCTATTATGCTTTAGAATTTTAGGTTTCATTATTTTCTTAGACGAAAAATCTTTGGGGCTAGAATTTCTCTAGGCTAAATTTAGAGTAGTGATATGTTTATCTAAATCAATTTGCTAATTATATCCAATTTTATTATAAAATAGCATTGGGCCGAATACCTAAATCGAAAAATTCATAAGACCTATACTAACTATGAATCCAGAGGAGGGCTGGGCCGGGGCCCGGGATGGCCACCCCTGGATCTTCCACTGTTAGCATTATAAAACAATTGAATCACAATTAAATTACAAACTAATACAAAATACTTTATAAAACACTTTTCCCATATAATCTGCAGCACCACAATTAATCCCAACCAAACGGTAAATCGGCATAGATCAATGATTGGGCCTGTGGCTCAGTAGCACTCAACCCAGCCCAATATTTGTTTGCCGAGATGGCTTTGTCTTCTTCCTGATTCGCCTCTCTTTCTGAACAATCTCCCCAAAACTTGAGCGGGAAAATCCCCAAAAACGTTCGGAACTTTCCGCTAGGAAATGGAGGGGCTCTCAATCGAGTGACGACGAGGAAGAAGAACTCGAAAAATCGACCGCTGAAAAACTCATTGACTGTGTCTCTCGCCGCTGCGTCGAGCCACTCCCGCCATGGAAGAAGAGCAGGAGCTCCTCTCGCGAATCGTCGCCGACATTGAAGAAGCTCGAGACAGCAACAGCAGCAGCAGCCAAACTCCCTCGCCGCCGCTCTCAAGTTCGACTCTCCTCGACCTCCAATCCATTCTTGACGCCGGCGATGCCGACCTACTCGACCAATTCTTCTCCCGCCTTTCGTCCAAATCGCTCTCGCCGGCTTCTCTCCTCCCGCCTCTCACCTCCGCTATGGACTCCGGCCCCATCTACATCTCCCTCTTGTCATCCCAAGCATATCTCTCCCTCCTCCTTTGCCCTAACTCCCCTGTATTCACTCTCTTCAACCCAATGTCGTTTCTTTCTCTCCTTCGCTCCCTCCGGCGCGCGCTCAAGTCCCCGCCGCCAGCCGTGCAAGGGGAGGACCCGTCTTCCTCATCGGGTCGGGCGGGTGGATCTCAGGGTTTGAAGAGGAAGAAGGGTCGGGGAGGGAGGAATAATAGAGGTAAAAATGTCCGTAATGCTGATGATGAAGATGGCGGCGGCGGCGGCGGCGGGGAGAGCCAGGTAATTAATGCAAAATTGTTCTACAGCGTTCTGGAGAAATTGGGTTCAGTTTTGGATTTGATTCATTTGAGTAGGTTCCCCGATAGTTTGAAGTCTCTGGTTCAGACTGTAGTGGAGATTCCTGTTTTAGCTACGGAAACATTAGGTAATGCTTCAGGTAGCTCTAATGGATTGGAAAATTTGTGCTCGAGGATTTTGAACCGGGTGTTGAAACCCGAGCATGGTGAAGAAGGGGAGACAGCAGCTGAATTGCTAAAGTCGTTGACGCCGTTGATCCTGGCTGCGAAGTCCCACGCTAGGAGCTTTGCCTTAGCCTTCGTGAAGAATTTGGTGACGGGTTTAGCTAGAAGAAGCGAAAGTGTGAACAAGGCTTGTGTGAATTTACCACGTTATCTGGTGAGGAAGGCGCCGGACAAGGCTGAGCCCCGTGGGCTAGCGGTGGATGCCATAGTCGATATTGTGAAGGTTATGGAGTTGAATGATCAAATCGTTTTTGTGGATTATGTTGTGAAGATGAGCGAAGGGAAGGCTAATCTTAGAATCTTGGCGGTGGACTTGATGTTGAATCTATTACTGCTGTTGAAAGATCCATTTGGGTTGCGCTCGAATGGTGAGCCGGAAGGGAGCTGGGGATTCAAGTGTCTCGAGGCATTGATCCAGCGTTGTTCTGATTCAAGTGCTCTAACTAGAGCTCGTGGGTTGTCGAATTTGGCGCAGTTGGTGGGAATTCTGTCATCTGATGATAGGAATCATGCTGTTCTAAGACAAGCCATGGGGTTTGGTGAAGATAATGTAAACAAGGGCGAGAGTAGGATCGATGATATGTTGAGAAGGCGCTGTATGGATGAGAAAGCAAACGTTAGGAGAGCTGCACTTCTTCTAGTTAGCAAGGTGACTGCTATTTTTGCTGGCAATTTGGATGGAATCGTGCTCAAGACTATGGGAATGGCTTGCTCGGATCCACTTGTCAGCATACGCAAAGCAGCAATATCAGCTCTGTCACAGGTTGGTTCCGATAATTATTGTACTTGTAAATTGAACTGATCACCTTTTTAAACCTTGACAACCTATTTTCCATTTTTTCCTACACAAATCGTAGCAAGAATCTTGATTGAGTTGTAACAATACACAAGCACCATAAATCTTCATATGGAGGAATATTATCACATTGTGACACAAAACAAGATACCTTTTCTAGGAAGAGTTCTTTAAATTTCTGTCCAAGTTCTCATCAGGCATAAGCTATCATTATCTGTGTTAGAGCATCATGTACTGCATGCTGTCTAAAGACTTGATCTCTATCCCCTTTTCAAGTCATGTGCTTGATGATTCTGATCTTGCTTTCTACCACTGTCTGTAGGCCTTCAGAACATATTCAGATGAAATTGTGATTACTGAGTGGCTGCATTCTGTACCTCGATTAATAGCAGATAACGAGACTAGCATTCAAGAAGAGTGTGAGAACTTGTTCCTGGAACTAGTCCTCGACCGTGTCTCAAAAGCAGGAGGTGATCCCAGGTTACATAATGCTTCCAGTTTATCCCATTCTAAGTCAAACAAAATGGGAGTAGAAAGAAAGATGGAGTTGCTATTTCCAGATGGAGTTCTGTTTATTCTGAAAACAATCTGTGATGGGGAGGTGACACCTTGGGTGAAGAAAATCTGCAGCAGTCTAGGGAAGAAGAAACGACTCAAGCCTGTGATTGCTAGTTCGCTGCAGAATATCATAAGAACTTCAGAGTCTAACTGGCAGAGCCATTTAATGCCAATAGAGAAGTGGACAGCTCCACCTGGTGCATGGCTTCTTTTATCTGAGGTGTCAGCACACCTTTCCAATGCAGTTGACTGGAAGTTTCTCCATCATCATTGGCAGCTCCTTGACAAGTTTGGAGCAACCAACGAATTTGATCCTGAAGAAGATTTGACTCGTGATGAAGGAAGTATACATTCCGATTCTGTTGCATGGGCAGGAGATCGCGTTTTTCTATTGCAAACAATCTCTAACGTTTCTTTGGAGCTGCCTCCTGATCCTGCTGCTGATCTAGCTCATAACCTGCTCAAACGAATTCAGGACTTCAATATGCACTCAACCGAGGTACTTCTAACAATTCTTATTGCAGGTTATAAAGATAAACAATCTTATGTTGATGATCAATCTTCATAGTTATTTGCTAACTTCACTCGATAAAAAAATGTATGACTATGATGATACTAGGTTAATGCACACGTTAAAGCCCTGAAAACAATATGCAAACGGAAAGCTGTAGATCTTGCTGAGGCAGAGACACTTGTTGGCAAATGGGTTCAACAAGTTCTTTCAAAGGCTTGCAATATACTCGAGAAGTACATGGATGAAAATTCGAAAGCCACCAACGAAAACAGCTTCTTCACACCACCTAGAAGTGGAATTAGAAAGGGCAAGAGAGCAGTAGCGGCTTCCAGGCTACTGGCAGAAGCAGTGAATTCAGTTCAGACCATAGGATCTCTGGTTCTTGTTTGTCCTTCAGCTGATATGAAAGATGTAATCCCTCTACTGTACACAATCATCACTTCAGGAAATTCTGATCCCAAGTTGAGCAAGCTCCCTGGACCTCCCGTCCCAGTTAAAGAGACAGCCCCATCTTTGTACATTCAGGCGTGGCTGACAATGGGGAAGATTTGCTTAGCGGACGGGAAACTTGCGAAGAACTATATACCTTTGTTTGTGCAGGTTTGGTAGCCCTAAACCCAATATAACTCTCTCTTTCTCTCTCATTCTTGGTTTCCTATTGTCATGCTAGACTTTTCCTAGGTCTAGATAAAGGATTGACTAATGTGGCAGTAAATCTTCACTTTATGGTTAATGTCAGTTGCTCTTTTGTGTCAGATGAGGGTTTCAACTGTAGCTAACTTACTATCTCATGTTATGCAGGAGCTCGAGAAAAGTGATCTTGCACCACTTCGCAACAATCTCGTGGTTACAATGGCAGACTTCTGTGTTCACTATACCGCTCTGGTGGACTGGTAAGGCCACATAGAGAATCACATATACCTGAGTTCTGTCTGATTGAGATAACTTTTTAACTTCTCGATTTTCTGTTTTCTTTCCATAATGAACCACAGTTATATACCTAAGATCACCAAGTGCCTCCGTGACCCATGTGAACTAGTAAGGCGGCAGACGTTCATTCTGCTCTCAAGATTGCTTCAGGTATTGGTTGCTTCTTAACCGTCTATTTGTAACCAATTCCTTTGAGAATTCAAGTATCATTGCTTGCAGGGATTAGAATTTATACCGGAATTATTTATGAATTTCTACTTGGAGTAAATGCTATTCACTAATTTAAAGTTAATTACACAAAGTCTGTAAATTTGGACTAATTGGTAGATGGAGTCCACTATCCCATCTGCACCAACAATTGCAACCAATTTTGAATGCATTTCACACTTCCATGCCTTGGTTTCTTGAAATTCAATTTCATGAGTTGTTGGTTATCTACTTATCTTGACAAAAAAGTTACGAACTTTCTTACATAGAGGGACTATGTCAAGTGGAGAGGAGTGCTGTTCCAAAGATTCCTCCTGGCTCTTGTCGACGACTCGGAGAAGATTAGACAATTAGCTGACTTCCTATTCGGGAACATTCTGAAAGGTCATTGCCCTTTACACCTTCTCATCAAATTTCAATCTATATACATTGCTACGAGATTTGACCAATTGGGTTATCATTTCTGTGATTCTGTCCACTTGCAGTCAAGGCGCCACTGTTAGCTTACAACAGCTTCGTGGAAGCCGTCTTTGTGCTGAATGACTGCAATGCACACACCGGGTCCAAGAACACTCGAACCGAAGATCGCCAGTTCTCCATTAGGTTCGTTACAAAGCTAGTCTATAGATGTCAGTCAAGTCATCAACATCTTTTTTTATGTCATTGAGAAATTGGTACCTTGGGATTCAAGTCAATCTCGTGTTCTTGTTTGCTCTTGTAAGGGGGAATGATGAGAGCTCAAGGTCGAAAAGAATGCACATATATGTTTCCCTGCTCAAACAGATGGCTCCGGAGCATCTCCTAGCGACATTTGCGAAACTGTGCTCTGAGATTCTCGCAGCTGCTTCTGATGGAATGCTCAAGCTGGAAGATGTCACCGGACAGGCTGTTCTTCAGGTAAATAAAATAAGCCTAACTATAATTAATTCGCGCGTAAATTTAAATTTCGTTGAAATTGGAATGTGGTTTTTGTGTTCCCCTCTTTTTCTTGAAACAGGACGCTTTCCAAGTGCTGGCCTGCAAAGAGATCAGAATCCAACCCGCCCGCGGTTCAGCGGCGGACGCCGGCGAAGCCGGCGACGAAGAAGGCGGTGGCGGAGACGGCAACGGACTGTCAGCAAAAGGCAGGGCAATAACGCAAGCCATAAGGAAGAGCTTGATCCAGAACACGATTCCAATCTTCATCGAGCTCAAGCGGCTGCTGGAGAGCAAGAACAGCCCGCTCATCGGCTCCCTAATGGAGTGCCTCCGCGTGCTCCTGAAAGACTACAAGAACGAGATCGACGAGATCCTGATCGCCGACAAGCAGCTGCAGAAGGAGCTCGCTTACGACATGCAGAGGTACGAAGCAGCCAAGGCCAAGTCCGCCGCGGCGTCCGAAGCCGCCGGACCGAGCGGCTATGGCGGCGGAGGGGGCGTTGGGTTTCTTTCGCCGAAGGACAAGAGGGTGGCATCGGCGATGGCGGACAAGGCTGCGGAGGTGACGGCCAGATCGGTTTTGAGAGAGGTGAATAGAGGCGTTCTATCTCCGCCGTTGAGTGCTATGAACAAGCCGAAGCTCAAGACTGCCGCCGCCGCCGGAACGGTGGGGAAGAGCGGCGGCTCTGGGTTGCCGTCGGCTCGTCCCGCCGAGGTCTTGGAGTCGGTCAGGAGACGGCAGACGTTCATGTCCGATGATGAGAGTTGATGAGAAATAAATAGGCTTTTTTAATCTGTATCTGGGCTTTGGCCTATGGGCCTTTAAATGTTAGAATTTTTGGGTTGGTTATCCAAAAGAAAAAGATATGAACGGGTTAATACTGGTTCGGCCGTTAACCTGATGAACCACTCGAATCTTTTCCATGGCTTTGCTGTCTTCTTCCCCAAGCGTGGGACCTAACATATGCGTCGTCGTTTCGGGACTTCGTCTTCAACTCTTCATCGACTGCCGCCGAAGCGGCGGCTCACCCTATCAAAATCTATCGAAGGTCTTAACAGCTTTTCCCGATTCCGGTAAAAAGCCTTTTCTCCCTTATGTTCTGACTTCTGACTGCGGAATTCGTCCTGTTCGAGATTTCAATCTCCCAACTCATTTTCTGAATTTTCACAGCCTTTTCTGAGATCTCAAATGCGCGCCAAACTCTTTTGATCTCCTGGAACTCCATTGACGCGATGGACGGCAACAAGGACGAAGCTCTGAGATGCATCGCCATCGCCGTCACTTCTTCTGTTGACTGTTGGTTGTTACAGATGCTGCTGCTGTGAGATTTTAGAAACTCCAAGTTGGTTGTTTTTAAGTGATGGGAAGTTGTTTCTAGAAATGCATCTCTTTTTTTTTTTGGTACAGATTTGTAAGATAGGATTCAGGAATAACAGATTCCGAATCTCATTGTTTGATTGGTGGGTTGTAGTATGCGGATTCTCTGTGGGTTTAGGGTTCCATTACTGAATGGAGAACTGTACTATGTCATCAACTTTTTTTTATCAAAATTTTAAGGGCAGAGATGCACCGTAGATTCCAAGTGCTAACAATGCGCGTAGCATTATCGATGGTTTATAATGAGTTTCTGAATCATAACAAACATCTGGAACGATTCATTCGTATGTTTTACGCAGATTTACGTTAGGATTTTGTCAATTTTTCCCCTAGTAATTTGTTAACAATAACAATGTGGTGTTGTCTGCACACGAAATCCGATCGATCCGTTGATGAACCAAACGACAAAATCGATATAAGATTTCAACTCCTGGAGTTCACATCTTGATTTTTGTCCTATGAATCTTAAAAACTCTTCTTCTCCTACTTTGACCAAATTTAAGAGGCCTTTTTCCCCCACTTTACACGATAAAACTGAAAAACTTTTATTTACCAATGAATGCAGAATATGCGCGGAAGCAAGTGTCATTACAATAAAAGAAAAACTATCTGGTCAATTGTTGTCAGTGACATCACTGACAACTTACAGCCTATTGGATTCTCTCTGCTCCTCTCGCTCAATAATTGAATGCAGCTGCTGACCAGTGGAGATCAGAACTCCGCCACTCACTGCACGTGCGCCACGTGTATTCCACCACCACGCCGGCTGGCATTCACCGTGCCCTTCATCGTCCACCGCCGGCGAGTCAACGCCAAACCGGACACTTCAGGATCACACCGCCATTTTTGTAACATTTCAACCATACCCAGTTATGGTTCTTAGAAGACATGTAATAAGTATCGCATAGATGTCATGTCGCACATAGTTGGTGATACGCGATCGTTGGAAAGATGTAGTCGCAATTTATCATCACCTCGTTCATCCAAAGGTCATATATCGTCCATTGTTATAAGTTCAACAACATTCAAAGAATTGCTTTACTTTATTTATCGACAATCAACAAGTTATACAACTCTGTTATGAGAAATTTTACAATACTATATAGTATTTGTGCTATAAGTTTTGTCTTTATGGTACAACTTAAAATTGTAAATTTAACGTTATGGTACAATTTGAACTTGTACCTATACGTTTTGTATAAATTCTTTTATGGTACAACTTAAATTTGTACCTTTATGTCATGGTACAACTTCAAGTTGTAAAGTTGTACCATAACATAATTGTACAAATTTCTTTATGGTACAACCTAAACTTACACATTTTGTTTAAAAAAAAATGTTTCAAAAAACTTATACATTTAATGTTATGGTACAACTTCAAGTTGTACATTAAAGCACCAATACTATATAGCATAGTAGAAGTGTTCCTCTGTTATATCTATTAGTTTGTTGTTATTTACTTTACTTGCTTTACACCACCAACATCACAATTTCCCGCCGTTTGATTCATCACTACAAGTCGTCCCTTTCATCACATTGTGCCTCTGCTACCATGCCAAACGAAATTGAACTCACACTAACATAACGTTGAACGAATACGTAGACATCTCCGAACTCGCTTACATTGTCGTCCCCCCACCCCCACGTTCCAGATTCCAATTCAGGAATTTTAACCGAAACCTTTTACCGTTGATGCGAATAACCGTGTAGCCTCACGTGCAAGTACACTTCAAACGAATCACCCTTCTAGACCTTCCAATTTCTCATTTGAACATTTGATTTATAGTTTTATACTACCATCATCAAGATCTGTAGCTACAGCTACTCCTTCCATAAAGATTACAAAGAGCCATCATTGAGCCAAACAGCTTTAAATTTAACTATGTTCATTAATGTCGAAAATTAAATTATGCAATCACAAAAAAACTACCATAAAACCACGGCATTTTACAGTTTTACCCCTCCCCAACCACGAGTCCACGTTCAAACAGACTCACCAGTCACCAGCAGTATCTACTCCACGATCCTTCCAAAAGGAAAGCTCCAAATGAACAAACAAATATCAAAGCAGCAATCCAAAAAGTAAATAAATAATGTCAAAAAAAAAAAAAAAAGTAAATAAATAAAAATAAACCAAAAAGCTAACCCCTGACTAGAAAAAAGAGAAAAGGACCAATCGAGCTTCAGATCCAGCGGGCCCCACCGCGCACCTCAATCGAAAAAAAGCCCCCCTCCCCCCCCCTCAATCGCCGGAGTCATCGCCGCCGCCGAATATGGAGACGCGGTAGTAGAGCAGGAACAATACGAGGAAGAGGAAGAGCGCGACGCCGACAGGTGACCCGCTGACGCGGTGGAAGCTCTCCGGCTCGCCGCCGCCGGCGGAAAAGACCGCGGCGACGAAGGATCCGCGCTGGGAGGAGAGGAACTGGATTGCGAGCAGGAGGACGATCGGGAGGAGGAGGAGGCCCAGCGGGCTGAGGAGCTCGGCGATGCCTTCGGTGATCGCTTCCCCTTGGTCGCCGAAGACGAACGGGGCGAGGACCACGATGCAGAACACCACCGCGAGGATGATCCCGTGTGGCGGTCCGCCGCCGCCGCCGACGGCGGCGGGGGGATTGTGGTGGTGGCGTCGGGGGTCGTAGTATTCCGGTCCTCCCATCATTTTTTCGTGGGAGAGAGAGAGAGAGAGAGGGGAAGCGGTTTGGAGGGAAGGAGGAGCGGCGGAGTATAAAAAGGAGGGAATTAGTTTTTACTTTTCTTTCTTCTCTTCTTCTCGCCACTTTTTTTTTTTTTTTACCGTTTTACTGTTTGGAGAAAGAAGGGGTGGGGAAGTAGATTTGAATTTAATTAATTATCAAATTTGAGACGGATCTTCTTCCTGTTATTTTTACCAGAATTGGGGTTTTGCAACAATACATCAATTCAACTATCATCAAAACCAACCCATCCTGATTTTCTTAACATCGCATAAAAACTCCAATTCTTTTAAGAATAATATGCATGTATATAACAAAATTGGTGTATTGTAGTTTACATCGTTTGGTTCTTGTGATAGTTATTGTAGTATTTAAACAAATTATATTACTTTACCCTTTGTTTCTAATATAAAAAAGCAACACACTTTAAAAAAAGTAGGGACATAGTTGGAAAAAGAAAAAAAATACAATAATCTCACCGAAAACTTGAGATTTAACTATCACTTGTTTTGAGTGATAGTTTATGTCACATCAAGCAAACAATGCTATGTATTGTTTGTGCACAAAATTCAAAAAAAATGCATTATGAACATTTCATGCATTGTAACTATTTCAACCAAACTATCACCAAAACCAAACGACTCCTAAGTTTAAATCTCGTTGTTGTCGGGTGGGTGCGCTTCAAGTTCAACATTGGACGAGATTCAACAATGATGTTTGCATTGTATCCTATTAATGCAGTAAATTTTGATCTTCAAATGTAATTATTTTGTGGTGTTTGAACGATGTCTATGTCTTCGCTGGACAAAGATTAGGAGAAAAGAAAAGAAGGATGTAATTTTGGCATTGGCAGACCTAGGTGAGAAAATGTGGGGTCCATCTTCATAAGATGGTAATTTTACCATTGAGACAAACATCACATGTTATTAAGTTTGGACCCCACTAAATTATATTTCTAGCTCGCCAATAAATTTTGGGGTTATACTTTGTTTATAATTTGGGGCAGCCTAGTTATTCTGCTAACTGCATAAGTTGTTAGTATATACTAACTAATATTCAAAATGTATGAACTAGTATTCAAGTCTTCTAATTTTACTAAAGTATCTAGATAGCACAAATTAGTATTCAAAACATCACAAACTAGTATCCAGATAACATATACAAACTAATATCCACAATCAACCAACTAGTATTCAATACAGATACTCATATGTGTTATCTGGATATTAATTATGTTTTGTATGGATACTATTCTGTGTTGTCTAGATATTAGTTTGTGAATTTGGGATAATAGTTGATTCATGGTGGATATCATTTAGCAAACTTTGAATACTAGTCTGTGCTCTCTAGATATTTTAGTACTTGGATACTAGTTTATATATTTTGGATATCAATTAGTATCTGCTAACAAATTTTCAAGTTAGCAGATTAACTTTTCGGATTTGAGAGGGGTTTCCCTTCGTGATGTGGATCCGTCCATAGTTAGTAAAATACGGTACGGGAAATTTACGTAAAAAATACGTACGGGTATTTTACGTTGTCTCTAAGCTAAAGGTACGTTTAATAATACGTTAATACTAATAAATATAAAAAATAAATTATTTTAAATATATATATATATATATATATAAATAATAGTAAAGTTCACAATTTAAATTCATTAAATACGGATATTAAACGTGTTATACGGGTTTTATACGTGTTTAGTACGGGAGCCATCCAATGAACGGAAAAAATGAAACGGCTTGACAATAATACGGATACGGAAGTTTTAAACGGATAAAGTACGTACGGGTACATATACGTGTATTCAAACGGAGTATTTACTGACTATGGATCCGTCTACGTGCTGACAGATAATGTTCTTTGGAAGAAAGTTCTTAGAAAGACAAGACAAGGGGAAAAAAACATTAAACACAAAGGAACCCAATTGAATACTCGGAGAGCCACTTTAGACCTAAAATCATGCATGCAATGGCAACACAATAATTTGGCACTTTCTTGTTCTGTGCTTTGACGCATTGCTCACTGTGCATGCGGTTCCCCGCTCCATCTTTATAATAGTATTTGTAAAATCGAATCGACCATCTAATCTGAAAAATCTTCTATAAAAGTTTAAACTGACTATTGATTTTAATTGTATAAAACGGTCGAATCACGATTTTAGCATAAGATATTATACTGAAATTTTGTTTAGTACAACCTTTGATACGACTTTACGTCTTGTTTTATAATTGGCGGTAGAGATTGAGCCGTTATAAGTCGCTGGCGATATGTTTTAAAATCACTGTAGGGAGTAAGACCATCTCCATCCCTGCAACAGGTTAGCCATTTCATAAATAGACCCCACATTCACATCACCAACTTTAACAATTATTCAATTCAACAATTTCAAACCACCTATGTCCCTTACGGGACCTACTCCATATTCTTTTTCTCAACAATATTTTTGCATAATAGATTATAGACTTTTAAAAATTCAATAAACACAAAATACATAGCATACACAAAATAGAAATAAGGAAAAATTACATAATGAAATACAAAAAATCAAAACAAATTACATGATATGAATGGTGTGTACTTTTAGTATGATTTCTTTCTAGTTTTGTGTAAGGATGTCCAACCATTAATTATACGGAAAAAATCCCAAAGTACACTAGTTCTTAAAAAAAATTCCCAAAATACATAAGTTATAAAAAAAATTCCAAAAGTACACATGTTTGAGCATCACCGTTTTCGACAAAAGCGGTGAAGGTCATCACCGCTTTTGACCAAAACGGTGAATACTTCACCGTTTTTGTCTCAAACGGTGATGTATTCACCGTTTCAAACTAAAACGGTGAATGCTTCACCGCGTGAGAGCAAAACTGTGAAGCACTGAACTGTGTCCAAACTTTAAAACAACGTAACTTTGTGCTCGGTTATCCGATCGTAGCGAAAATTTTTTTTATTCCGCAAAATTTTTCGAGATCTTGCAAGCCGCAAACCGCCGGAGGCTGTTTGGTCCCGCCTTCGTCTCGAAAAAATGTCGTTTGCTACCCCGAACGAGCCTTTTTTCGATTTCGTCAAACTTTGAACGACCATTACTTTGTGCTCCACAATCCAAAAATCATGAATTTTTTTTTGATTTGGCATAACTTTTTAAGGACTACAATTTTTATCATAGACATAATTTCGGAATGTACTTGGATTCCTGAAAAGGGAAGGTAAAGTTATTCCCAAAACCCCTTATATCCATAAATAATTCATTTTTTGAAAATTCTCTCCTACTAAAAATTGTAGTCCTTAAAAAGTTATGCGGAATCAAAAAAAAATTCATGATTTTTGGATTGTGGAGCACAAAGTAATGGTCGTTCAAAGTTTGACGAAATCGAAAAAAGGCTCGTTCGGGGTAGCAAACGACATTTTTTCGAGACGAAGGCGGGACCAAACAGCCTCCGGCGGTTTGCGGCTTGCAAGATCTCGAAAAATTTTGCGGAATAAAAAAAATTTTCGCTACGATCGGATAACCGAGCACAAAGTTACGTTGTTTTAAAGTTTGGACGCAGTTCAGTGCTTCACCGTTTTGCTCTCACGCGGTGAAGCAATCACCGTTTTGCTCTCCCACGGTGAAGCAGTCACCGTTTTGCTCTCACGCGGTGAAGCAATCACCGTTTTGCTCTCACGCGGTGAAGCAATCACCGTTTTTCTCTCACGCGGTGAAGCAATCACCGCCCTTCTCTGACGCGGTGAAGGCCCAAACATGTGTAGATTGAGAATTATTTTCATAACATGTGTATTTTGAGAATTTTTTTTAAAAACATGTGTAACTTGGGATTTTTTCCTAATTATACATCATTGTGTTAAGTTTTCATGTTCAATATAATTAAAACATAATTTATGATTTTAATTTATTAATAAATTAAAAAAATCACAAGCACAAGGATTATTAAGTGTAAAAATTTGGACTTTGCTACGGTGACATGCATGTCACGGTGACATGCACTTTCCGGTCGACCTCATATAGGATCAGGTCGACCTAATCAGTTGTTTCAGTGTACAAACAGTTTCATGGTGCCTATTTTGGAGATTCATATCTTACAATTGGCTAGATGGAAATTGGAGATTAAAGGCTTGTTTTGAAGCTGAAGTGTCCCTCTACACATTAAAGTACTTGGGAGCTCAATAGAAAATCTAGAAGACCATTTTTGAACCTGACCAAAAGGCTATGCCAAAACTGGGAAACTGCCTGAAAATGGCTAAGTCTGGCAACGTGTTTGTCAAGCCTACTTTGGAGCTCAATTTGACAAGCATGGATGCGAGTCAAGTCCAGGGGCCTTTACCACGTTAAATTACGTAATTTTTTATACAAAGGCAAGGCATTGAATGAAAGATTGAATATCTTTAAGGCTTCAAACAAAAGGCTCGAAGTTGCTACGAAGGCTGTTTTTCTGGCAGCTTGCTTGTGCTCGAAGTCTGCCAGAAAAACAGCCTTCGTAGCAACTTCGACCCTTTTGTTTGAAGCCTTAAAGATATCCAATCTTTCATCCAATTCCTTGAATTTGTATAAAAACATACCTAATTTAACGTGGTAGAGGCTCCTGGACTCGACTCGCATTCATGCTTCTCGAATTGAGCTAAAAAATAGGCTTCACAAACACGTTTCCGGACTTAGCCATTTCTAGGCAGTTTCCCAGTTTTGGCATAGCCTTTTGATGAGGTTCAAAAATGGTCTTCTGGACTTCCTATCGAGCTCTCAATCACTTCAATATGTAGAGGGACACTCCAGCTTCAAAACAAGTCCTTAGTATTCAATTTCCATCTAGCCAATTGTATGATATGAATATCCAAAGTAGGCACCATGAACTGTTTTTACACTGAAACAACATATTAGGTCGACCGGATCCTATATGAGGTCGACCGAATCCTAAATGAGGTCGACCGGATCCTATATGAGGTCGACCGAATTCTATGTGAGGTCGACCTAATCCTAACTGAGGTCGACCGGAAAGTGCAAGTCACCGTGACATGCATGTCACCGTAGGCACACCCTAAAAATTTATGTGTACAAAGTTGATAGAAAAAAAAAAGAAAGAATTTGAGTGTGTGGTCCCAATTGCTTATGTTACATTGCAAAAGGGATTGCTTATTTAGCAATCTTGCTAAATAAGAAAGAAGTACTACATTCTTGCAATTGCTTACCGCCTGTTTGGATATAATTCCATAAGAAATGGAAATGGATTTTCATTCCCAATTCTAACTTTTATGGAATTCCATTTCCAATATTTGTGTTTGGCATAATTTCGACAACTATGGAAATGAATTGTACTCTTTAAAAATCATTAATGATTTAGTAGATTTTTTTATCTTGAGAAATGAAATACTGATGAGAGAGAAAGAGAGGAATAAGATAGTGGAGTTATAAAATAATGGGTTAATAGCATTTTATACCCTTCAACTATTGTAAATTAACAACCATACCCTTGTACTATTGTTTTGCACAAATGTACCCTTATGCTATCAAAACTTAACAAAAATAACCTTCCATCCAAAATTCTGTTTACTATCCGTTTAATGGATTAGAAAATGACTCAATTACCCTTAAATTCCCCTTTTACATAAAAAATAAAAAATGAATCATAATATAACCTTGCTCTTATTATCCCTTCCATGTAGACTATCGAGCAACCCCCACCATGAAAACGCATCCGACTTTCAAGAGGCTCCCTCCCTATGGCGAAACCCCAAGGCCCCGAAGAATCCATCTTCCCGTCGTTTCGAATCTCCTTCCGTCTGCGCTCTTTCCGACTCAGCCCCCTCAAACCTCATTGCTCCTCCATTGGGTTTCAAAAGAATAAGAGTTTTGGGGTTCTCACAATAATTAGGGTTAAAAGAGTGGATTTGGGATTGCAACCGAGGAAGGGTTTGGAGGGCAATTGGCGGAGCACGGAGAATCTCGTTCTCACCCACCGAAGCCTGCCGCTGCCGAGGAGTAGCTGGGAACCGGTGGAGTAGCAGGCGCCGGATATGTAGCTAAGCGCCAGAGGAGCAGCTAGGTGGGTGCCGTCGAAGATGGTGCTGAACGATGGTGGGTAGGGTGAATGACGAGGAGGAATGCTCGACCGTCGAAGGGAGAAAGAATAAGAATTCGGGATTTTTTTCGGTTGGTACACAAACAGGTTAAAAACAAATTTCAATATAAGTTAGGGGTGATTGCGTCATTTCACACTCCGTTAAACGGCCCATAAACAGAATATTGGATGGAAGGTTATTCTTCTTAAGTTTCGATAGTAGAAGGTTACATTTGTGCAAAACAATAGTATAAGGGTACATTTGTTAATTTATAATAGTAAAGGGGTATAAAATGCTATTAACCCTAAAATAATAATAAAGATGAATGGGTCTCACTAATTCCATCTTCATAAACCCAATTCCTATAACTTTTGATAGGAATTCTAATTTCCAATATTTGGGTCAAATGGAGTTCAATTGTCAACCTTCTTACCATTCCAAACATGGAATAATCAAATAGAATTGGAATCCTGAGTTTTTTTGTCCATCCAATAAACAAAAGCAATAGCAATAAGCAATCTGGGATGGAGTTGCTCTAACTTGCACCTAGCGTCCAGTAATGTGGGCTGGATCGCTTTAAGGATTGGGCTAGATAAATTTTTGGGATACTCGATAAGCCCATGCCTAATAGCTTGGATAAGCCCCTTTACCCACGGCGATTAGGAAAAATCAGGCATACAAATAAAATGGGGACTTTTTTTCTTCTTTCTGTTGGGTCTAGGTCTCCGCTCCCTGTTTTTGTACCCGAATCTCCTCGCCAGCACACAGCAACAATGGCGACCGAGGATAGCCGCCGGAAAACGCTAGCTATTTCCCTTCCGGCGGGGATCAGCAAACTCGGGGACCACGATCTACTCGCAGAATTCCTTTGTCGCCTCTCGGACACCAAATCCGCCTGGCGGTGCAAATCCGTCTGCAAGCGATGGTACTCCCTCCTCTCCACTCCCTCCTTCTCTCGCCGCTTCCTTTCCCACCCCCGATTCGAACCGGCCTCTCCTGATATCCTCCGCCGTCCGGGGACCCATCTGGATCTTTCTCCCAGTGCCCAGCGACGAAATCCCCTTCCAGGCCTTCGTTGCGGATTGCTTCAGGGACTTGCTCCTGGTCCAATTCGCGGATCGGAACGGCGGGAGGAATCCCGACGGTGAGCTGAGAAGGACGTTCTTGGTATGCAATCCGTTCACAAAGCAGTGGGTGGCCCTTCCTTTGGCGCCAAAAACTAGCTCCACGGCGATTACAGCAAGATTGGTGTGCAAGCCCTGTAATTCGATCATCAACACTCTGTTTTTCGGCGTCGCCGGCGGTGGGGAAGAGCCGTTCACCCATCACTCCGATTATCGATTTTTCGTGGTGCGCTTGCACCGATATGGTCGAGAATCAGACGTTTTCTGTTCGGAAGCAGGGGAGTGGATGGAACTTGCTCTCTGTGCTTCAATTCCACGGTGGGATCTAGATTATGATGTTGTTTCGCTTAATGGGAAGTTGTACTGGAAGGATTATGACAGGAAATCAGTCGTTGTTGGGTGGAATCCTTACACTACAGCCGACTAGATGATAATAATGATGACGAAGCTCCAATTTTAATGGATTCTTTTGATCAGGTCGAAGGTTGTTCAGCGGTTTGTTCCTCGCAAGCTGCTCTGCACTTGATTTCTCGATTGTATTGGGCCAGAACAGAGGATAGTTTGAGTGTGTGGAGATGGTAAGAAGACGAAGGAGGTCGTCGTTGGAGGAGACACTATCAAGTGTCGTTGAATAAGTTGTTTGGTAATATCCCTGAAATCAAGAGCTCGGACTGGGGCAAGGGTAGTGTAGTTGGTCAACATCTAGAGAAGCCCGAGGTTATCTTTCTACGATACTCGATTCGTCATTGTAAGCCTTTTCGTTATACGACGACTCTCTTTTCGTGCAATCTGAGGCAGGAGAAGACAGAGTAGAGTAGATTCAACCTCGCAAAGGATTGGCATGCGAACCATTGAATGGTTGAGATGAGAGGTGGTTTCTCACTTGCCTGGACATTAATGACGGTTCAACTTCTTACTGAAAAACTTGTAGTTCCATACACTTGATTTGATTGGATACTTTGGAAGTTATCGTTTACTTGTTAGTTTATGATTAGTTGACCTTGTTTAGATTAAAAATGATTAATGAGATTTACTCTATAAATATGTACTTTTGCTATACGTATTGAGAAAAATGAACCAGTTCAACGGGGCGTTATGAACAACGACGGAATACCTGAGGATCTGACCACCAATATCCTGTGGAGGCTCCCGCTAGGAGAGTGCATCTTCCGATTCCGATGCGTCTCTAAATCATGGTGTGATCACCTCTCGGATCTCTCTTTCATTCGGCGCAAGCTTTCTTCTCCTCCTTCTTCTAGACGAATTTTGATCCAGTGCTTCAGCGATAAATTCCGACCACCAGTTTGCACTCTGCAGTCGCCGCCCGACTCAGTCGTCGCGCCTCTCCTCTCCTCCGTCCAGCAGCAGTTCTTCTTGAACGACGAATCGAAATTCGCTGGATACTGCAACGGCCTCTCCTCCGTCCAGCAGCAGATTTGGTTTTGTTTTAATTCGGATTTCCATTTTTTTACACAAATCGAACGAGTTCGTTGTGCTCTACAAAATAAGATCCATTTTTAATATTTTTTGAGGAAAAAAATATTCTTGCCTCTCGGTACCAACTGCATACCATATGGTATCTTCTTCGTTTTTAATTCGTTTTTGAAAACGTTTGCACAGAACGAACGAGTTCATCATGATCTATTAGATCTACAAATTTCTGGGTGAACAAATTACAAAAATACCACACAATACCACATAATACCACTCTGGTACGAGGTGGTATCTTGTGATACACAATGTTAAAAGTCGTAAATAACAGTTAATATACTTCTACTATCATGTATTCAACCATCCTACCGTCTTGGTTTGTTCATACCACCATGGTATGCTTTTCAAACCATAGATATGCTTTTATTTCAATACCAGTCAATACCATATGGTATAGACTCGTAAAAAATGGCCCAATTTTTTTTTGTTCCAAAAATATATCAAAGTGGATATCATTTTGAAAAACACAATTAATTTGATCTAACTGTGTAAAAAAATTAAATTTCAACTTATAACGATTTAAAGATCGTCCGTCAAAGATTAACAAGGGAAAATTAATTAGATTATGTATGATTATTGACCAGAAGATTATTGACCGCTCCCCATTTTACCTAGGTTTAGAATTATTAGTTTAAGGAAAAGAATTTATGAGATTTACCCTATAAATACCTACTTTTGCTCTAGGTTTTATAGACGAGAAGAAGCAGCCCGTATTTCAGTTCAGCGGCGCTATGCACAACGACGGAATACCTGAGGATCTGACCAACGATATCCTGCGGAGGCTCCCTTTGGGCAAGTGCATCTTCCGATTCCGATGCGTCTCCAAATCATGGCGCGATCTCCTCTCCGATGCGTCTCCAAATCTGCCTTTGATCCAGTGCTTCGGTGAAAAATTCAGGCCACCAGTTTACACTCGGCATTCGCCGGCCGCCGCGCCCCTCCTCTCCTCCGCCGTCCAGCAGCAGTTCTTCTCCGACGACGAATCCAGGCGCCTGAAAGTTGCAGGCTACTGTAACAGCCTGTTCTGTATCGCCGACGGCGACAACAACCAAAAGGATCTGATTCTCTGGAACCCGGCCACCTCTGAAACCAAGGTTGTTCCAGGTAACCCTTTCTTCACTTACCAGGACGATTCGCCCACTGTTGGATTTGGTTTCGATTCGGCAACGAATGACTACAAAATCGTTATACAATGTGAATGGAGGAGTGAATGGGGCCGGAGTTGTAATAATGAGTTGGGGATCTATAGTCTGAGGAACGATTCGTGGAGGAGGATGGTTCACGATTGGGCGAATCTCCCCTCCGGCCAAACCCCGCAATTCCACGAGGGGAAGCTGTATTGGTGGCAGCCGAGGGAGAGGGATTTATGTATCACTTTATTCGACCTGGCCAGAGAAGCAGTCCAGGTTCTGTATGTGCCTTACCCTGTTGAGAATCCAGATTGGGTTTCTGAACATTTGTCGAAGCACGAGGAATCGATAGTTGCTCTGTTCCTCGTTTATGATGATGGTCCGAGAAGAACAAGTACATCAGGCTGGGAGATGTGGGTGCTTTTGAAGTACTATTTGATGGGTTTCTGCACCAAATTGTTACTTGTTAGGAAGCCTCCTCCTACTGAAACGAGCACGCTTAGCTTTGCTGGGATGCAGAGGAATTTGAACTTCTTTTCCTTGCCTGATTCTACTAGCAGTGGGGTTGATGAGGAAGGTGAGTGCTCGTTGTCTAAGTCCAAGGAGTGCCCCTTCGTGTTTTGTCCCGAGACTGGAAAACTCAGCAAGCTTGAGTTGCCGTCTCCCTTTAAATCGTGGCCCCAAGTTCAAGTCATAGCTAATTATGTACCCTCCCATGTTTCTTTTCGGGATCTTTACATGTAAAGAAAGCTATGATTTTGTCATTATATATAAGACTTTCGCGATATAGGTGGTCTCGGTACGTGGTTTTTGTACGGTGTCTCTTGTTGGTGTCGTCATTGTACGAAATATAGATTTAGTATTTGTCTTCGTGTTGAAGAGATTCATGGTCGATACAATAATACTCAAGATATTATTTTTCACGCTCTTCCCTCGTCTGTCGTCGTCAACGACTATCAATCTGTATCTTTTGTATATTACGAGTAAATGAGGATTAAGGACTGTCCGACACGCGAGAGGCCATGACATATCACCAAACATCTATTTTCTTCCTCAATTCTCCTCAACCCCCCCGGTACCTTTTGCAGAAGCATTTTCTGGCTTGAACTTTTAGAGAAGCACTTTTCAAAAAAAAAAAAAACAGTTGAGTGTTTGACTGGAAACTTATTGGAAGTGTTTTTTAATATGAGTGGTTGTGTAAAATGACTATAAAAGACTTATAATATAAAAACTAGTCAAAATGGATCTTGTTAGATTTCTTTTATATTAAATAACATGATTTTATAATGATATAAATAAAAGAAAGTTATATTTTATGAAATAAAATTAAAATATGGTAAAGATAATCTTGTATTTTCAAAATAGTTTTTCGCAGATGCTACAAATCTGAGTTTCTGTTTTTATGTTATACAAAAGCGCTTTTCGAGTTTTCAAAAACCAAACTTTTAGAAGTGTTTGGCCCTGCTTCACCTTTTGAAACCTATAAACACTTCTAAAAGTTGTGCCAAACATAGGCATAATCTAGAATATGAATAGTAATTGGGGTGCCTGATTTTTGTATAATGTCTCACTTTGCAGGTATTCTATAGAGCATTTAGCATTGTAGTTGATGTAATATAAATGAAGATTTGTGCTTCATCTTGTGTTCCTCGGAATACAAGCACTAATAATTTATTGGGCTAATTCCACTAGGAAGCCCAAACTATGTAAAAAGTATCATTTGTGGTCTAAACTATTCAATATGACAAATCTGACCTAAACTATATGCATTTTGTGTCATTTGTGGCCTAAACTATTCAATATGACAAATATGGCCCAAACCAGATAGAAGCTTACTACATTTTCTATGATCTTCTAACGGTCAACTTCGGTCAACATTAACAAAAAAAAATAATAATTTGGGCCATATTTGTCAAATTGAATAGTTTAGACAACAAATGACACTTTTTGAATAGTTTGGACTTTCTAGTGGAATCAGCCCTAATTTATTTAAGTGTTTACTAGCTTTTCACCCGGCCCGTTGGCTGGAGAGTTTCATTTTATCGTTGACATTAATTCAATTTATCTATATGTTTAAACTATTTTAGAACTTCTAAATTTATTATATTTTGTATTGATAAGTGAGTATGTGGTGTGTCTATATATTGAAAATTCTCAATACTTAGCACATTCACTTATACTGTTTGAATTCTCTAATCATAAACCATGTCACAAAGGTATACCACGTCCATGTACAATTTTTTCTATCTTATTATGAATCCATGTTGTTCAGATGAGGACATCTTATGGAGAGTTTCTTTGTATATATACTTCATTATTGGATAAATTTCTTCATCCCAATTTAAAGTTGACACTTTGAATGTTCATAAGTTTACTGTAAGATCTTATTTGTATTTAGTCTTTTATACAATATGTATCAATTGCTAATTTCTGAAATTTAATTTGGACTAACTGAGACTCATTGTCGTTGTTTATATATTGTTTTAGAATCTAAATCCAAGATACTCACATACGAATTTTGATCTTAATATAATGCGTTACTGTATAATTTTACAACTTGTAGAACCTCCGTTTTCTAAAATTTATTTATGTTTGGTATTTGTTTAGAAATAAAAACTTCATTACTTATACTAATATATGCATTTTTTGTATTGCCACATTTATTGTCAATATATAAGCATATATATTAAAAAGAGATTAATTATTTTTCAGTGCAATTAATGCTTGTTTTTTACCGGGATTTGTAAAATGTTAAGAAAATAAGGGAAATATGAACAATTGTAAAAGAAAATAAGGGATGGAAGGA